TTGGTCCCGTAACAAATAGTTTAGTGGTTCCTTCACCCGACTTCTCGTGAAACTAACTGCTTTACTTTTACTTGGGTTAATTTTCATAACATTTTCAACCGCCCATTCCCCCAGACTGTTTAGATCCATCTGCATCCTTTCTATATCTTTACTATTTATAATTTTCCTATATATTATACATTTCGTTTTCAACTTGGCATATTTTTACCTCCATGCCAAACGTTTAAGCTGGAAGACTACCCCTTGTAGGCTGTCCGCGGCTGTTTGCTCAGAAAATTGTAAATTTTCGAAACTACATTCCAAGGTTGGCTTGTGTTTCCTCCACCCGTAACCAAAAGGGCGCTTCGCGCTCTGTTCGCATGGCACGCGATTATCACATAAATCTGTCCCATGCCTCTGAGAAATGAGACAAATGACAGCAATGTACACGTTTGTGCCAAGTCAAGCAATAATTGGTCACAATTTTACACTACAGCCACGATAGCGTATCATCCGGAAAGTGATATGAATTATCTTGAATACTTCATCAGGGCCTGTCAACTCACCAGGGTCACAGCTTCGTAAAAGCGTAATAACATTAAGTGTCTTGTCACGAATCACAGTTTTTATTAAAGGGCGGGCACAATTTGAATTCTTTTCTAGTCTGTTTTTAATTACCGTAAAGGAGATTTTCTGTGGGAAATGGATATTAGCAGACCTTCATAAAACGTGGGAAATGAATGTCTTTGTTTGTGCCTATGCACACGCGGAGACAGTGAAGCATCTTGTAATCTCGTACGTCCTTCACTGCAAGTAAGTATTATATAAATGCCTCTTTCTTACGCGCCGTTGTAGCGCAAACTAAATTATTTTTGTAACGATGTTCAACATGCCAATCCCTGAAATGTTTACTTTCATTATCAATGATCCGCACATGTAGTTTCAAAATAAAACCGAATCACACATTCCATAACTAATTCCACAGAATAGAGTACTTCTTGAGTAGCCAGCAGTCTCTCAGCTAGTCACAACATTCCAGGCATTTTAACGAAACCAAAAGTTGACTTCCGAGATCGCCATTAAATCCTGACCTGAGCCAGTTGCATCTAGTCCACAAGTTTTTCCTTCAAGAATGGTTTTAGTATTCTTCCATCGACGCGTATGAAGCCCAAATGATTTTTTCCTTCTGATTTGTATGAATTTTTCGACTCTCCCATGCTTACTACATTCTCCGTTCGTCTCATACGTATTTATTTCATAAAATCAATTTAAATATAGATTCATATATCTATAAGAGGAATTGTACCTAAGCCATACACTTACGATATTAAATTGTGCTCTCCATGGTAATACATTAAATGCATGTTGATGTTACGAATTCTATAACAATCATGCAGTTAACATGTACTTTCATTGTCGAAACATTTAACAACAAAAACAGACCAGCACAACACAGCCTCTTCTCTATTGAAAAATTCAGTAACATAGCACAATGAAATTTATGTCTGCTATACCGAAGTTTTTTCTTCTTCAAAAATCAAACACCCTTCTCCATCGGTTGTAGGGTAAAAATAAATGCGATTTTATAGTATAGCATACAGGCATAACGTCCATACCAAATCTCATCCAAATCCATCCAGCAGTAGAATCAAACGGACCGACAGACAGATGGAAATACAGACCTAAAACCGTTACATTACGTCACTGTTGAATAAATAAATTTTCCACATGAGTTACTTAATTCAGTCATTCTGTGTCTTCTAATGCACAAAATTGTAAAACATCTTAGGTTTTCGAGGACCGAAACCCATCTGTCCCACAGTGTACAGTTCAAACACGCAACTGTGTTTTTCTACAGAACCTAACAATTTAATCAACGCCTTTATTTGTCAGAACTATTATAAACGGTTCTGGGTGCTGTAACACAGCGGCTGCTGGCGGACCACCGGTTGAAAATCACTGGGTTACTATACAAAATCTTAAAACAATTATCCTGTCACCAACATCTGACACTATAAGACGCACACAAATTTTGAAACAAACTTTTTTCCTACGTTTTATTTCCCTATTTATTTTTTACTACCTTTTAGATTTAAGCCGTAATAAATACGCACTGGTAATATTGGAAGTTTTCACGGCGGAGAGTCTGAAGTTGGCTGTCTTCTGGGTTGTTGCGCCCTGTAATTTGATAGAAGTTTACCTTAACAACCCAGAAGACAGCCATCTTCAATACGAAACTGGATGACTATATATCACTTTTCTTAAAAAAAACACCATAAATTTGTTTGCAAGTGGATATATGCAGAGGCTAACACAACACACGCATGAACACATCGGTCAAACTACTCACAGCAAATCTGCCACCAGCCTGACGTGTTGCGCCGAACGGTTTGAGCGAGAGATTTCTCTGTAGGAGGCCGTGGACTCGCGGGGAGACTCAAGCGTGGGGATAACTTATGATTATTCAGCTTTGACTTTGAGACCTGCCTAGTGTGAATCGCACTGTAATGCTGAGTCGTACGACTGGCCCAGGAAATTGCCAAAGACACTTCAATACCTGAACGCCCTTGACGTCCGTCAGTCAAAATAGACCCTATCAGCTCGATCAAGGTCAATGATATACCAGAAAAAGCAAAACTGGAAACGAGGCAGCACTGCGTTACGTCATGGCTGCTGTGTAAAGTTGGTACTCCTGTTTCGTAATCCGGTGGTTTCAGGTTCGAATCTGTGCCCGGAGGCTATCTATCCTGACCGGTGTTCGAGGTTTTGTTGCCCCTCCATAATAAAATACGACAGAACCATGACATAAATCACGACCGCTTCTTCCCACAGCCTTTTCAAATTACAATTGACACATCTTCCGCCCACTCGAAGCCACAAAACCCGGGGAGCTGAAAGACGTCGTTAAATAGCCCAAGAATCAACCATTCGTTTAATTGATTTCTTATTCGGTGCTGCATCGCCTGCGCAAGTTATGTAGCGTTGAAGAAATATGGCAGAATGCGTAAGATGGATAAATGTGGGTGGCATGGATGTTATGTACTGTAATACAGAATCCCACGAAACGATTGGAAGGACTGAGGACAACTACGAACACCTCAGACAGGATTGTCGGTCCCTAACCGGAATTCGAACGGCCACTTCCTGAATACATGTCAGTTGCATTATCCCTGCTCTGTAAAGTTTATTAAAGCTCAGAGATTCTAAGAAGCCCGCCACGGGTACATTGACGGAAGAAGCTATCATGGCCTATACCAGTTCGTATTTAGAAACTTGTGGCTTCTCGTTTCTTTCGAAATCAGCATCGCCGAAAGTTGTGTCGTGTGACAGTAAGTGGACTTTCAGCACAGGACAAAAGAAAAATCCTTTATACCACACTATTTGCCTTCACTCTACTTCCGAGTTTCTAATACTGCCTACGAAACTGAAGAGGTTTGCCAGCATTTTGTCTTGCGCTTTATGCGTGCACTTTCAACTTTTATCATCCTTTTCCAGTCAACGTTTAGGCAAGAAACCTGAAGGAAAGAAACCACTTGGGAAACATAATAATAGATGGGACGTTTTTATTAAAATTGATCTTAAATAAATTGTAGACGTCATTCAAGTGGCTTAGAAGAGAAACTACTGGAGGGCTGAAGAACACGGTCATTAAATTTCGAGTTCCGTAAAAGTCGGGGGAGTTCTTGACTAGTTGAACGACTATCAGCTCCTCAAGAATAATTCTTCTCCATAGTGATAGTTGTGTAATAATGAGATCTGAGTCTTTTTAGACAAAATCCATCCGTATAACTGATAATTAAGAGCAGTGACGCTCTCGGGGGGGGGGGGGGGGGGGGGAAACCCAAACTTCTAGTAATGTAAAATATGTCATTTCATTAAATGAGGCGTTTTATTAGTTGAAGCTCATACCCAAAGATGAAAGAACCTATAAAGTAGTTGAAGATTTGAAATATTGAATGCTGGCCTACAGAATATCATAAATCAGAAAAAATGTGGCGTTACATCTCAGTTTACCTAAAACGAGAGAAAATGAACAGGAGACAAACTCCACAAAACCTAATATTCAGATTAATGTTTGCTCCAAAGAGGTGACAGAGATAGCAGACCTCTTAATGTTTTGAAGTAACTTCAGACAATGACAGCAATTTTCATTCTTCGCTGTGCTATGGTCTTATTCAGGCACTCGTATGTCCGGAAATGCTCTGTCTCTCACCAAAAGTGTACAATGAAAATAAAGCATCCTGTAACTCAACTGTAGAACTTGCAGCCATGGGGAATTATCAGTTTCTCGGTAGGCCTATTAACTCTTTAAACAACGGATGGATATTAATGAGTGGAAAATTTTAGTACGGTGTTCGGAATATTTATTAAGATAAAATTACGAGTGATTATTACAATTTGAACTTTCAACGACTGTTACGAATCGAGGTTTGGCGGAAACTTTTCCTAGAATTCCTTGAGAGATAAGACATAAAAGAAATTAAATTCCTGTGGCCCTTCGGCGTTATGTGGGGAGCTTAATTTGGCACTCAAATTTGCTGCTAGAAAAAGCATCCATCCACCCACCTGCAGCTATCGCCCGCTCCGTGACCTGTTATCTGAATTTAGTCATCAGACAGGATTCTTCAGTTGTTCGCATGTGAAACTGGATGGAAATGAGTTGTCATTTTCAACGTTATGTCGAATTAATAGACATTTAAAGAATACTATGGGAGAAGATCATTTATGTGAATTATGTAAACAGAAAAGCAGAAGTCAACATTAAAGATAATGAAGTGAAAAATTAACTAACATTAAAAACACGGATTTTAGATTAAAATAATAAGCCTGCTTGTATTGATTAAACTAATATTTGTAAATCTCGTCTCATTAGACGACTATAATTACGTTAAATAAACTAACATGGAAGTAACCGCTGAATGAATTCGCAGTTTGAACCCAGAAAGATAATGGCTTTATAATTTGTTTATAACGGCTTCTCAAGGACTCTACTCCATAGGATTAGTTAGTTGTAAATTAAAATAATTTAAGTATGTTTCATTGAACTCTATTCGTAAAATACAATGACGGATTACTATTTACTGACATGTCACTTTGCTGCCATTATGGGTGTCTCATTCTTGTGAAAATGTGAGGCATAGAAAATCAAAGGATGTTGAATTAAGCATGTTCTGCAAATGATCCCCTTGTTTTTAAAGGACAAAAGATGCATACAGATAGCAGGTTCAAAAGGACAACTGTTTGAATGTTTTGTTATAGGCCTTTCTATTACAACGAAATCACAGTTTCTTCAGTTGGCTTTGCCTAACTGTTTCGTCGAAGGATATAAACATCTTTCAGAGCACGTGACTAATATTTCTGAGTGAGATTCCCCGTTTATTGTACGGAAAGAATTATGGAGGAATACAGTTCTTGTTTTGCTGAGAAGCAAAGGCTTCTATCACCCGTGCCAATTAGTTAAGAATCGGCGTTAGCTATCCTTCGTATCGTATCTTGTTATCCTCATTTTGACCATGCGCATTCAGAACATCTTATCCAGGACCCCTCAGCTGACACCAACAAGCTCTACACCACCAGTTAACTGTTGATCTGATTCTGATATGACGATAATGGTCGTCTAATTTCTATCGACATTGCCTCCATCTTTAGCGCTGAAGATGAGATCAGTATGTTTCTCCGAAACGGTTATAACGGGCCAGTCCGCTCATCCATTCTAGAGTCCAATTCGCAGGTCTGACCCCGCGAATGACCGACGAATAAAGCGAACCACAAGTGTGCGTACATTAGCCACATCTTGTGTTAGCTGCGAAGGTCTTTTGCTGTTGCTATACGAAAGCATCTGCTACTGTTAAGTTTCAATTTCTAACTGGTTATTAGTGCGCATTCCACACTCCATGACGACGCCAGAGTTACCAATAAGTTATGCAATGATCATCTCGACACGTGTGTGTTGTTAAAGACGGTGAAGAAGTGCTGCCATTATTCTCATTATATCGCCACTGTTAGCAGAAGTTAAAAACTACAAGGTCCTCCACATATAACCCCGTGAAAGACTCACGTCCCACACGTAACCCCCTTAACCCATGCAGCCACTGGACAAGCACCAGCCAACAAATCATCAACTTTCGACATCACGACCCTACATAAACGCACCAGCGTGCCGACGATACAGTGAGGAGATGGCGCCTGTAAGCCAAGGACCGTCACACGGTGGTTCTACCCACAAGGCCACACGGCGTTACAACCCCGAAGACCACCATCGACATCTACAACGTCGTGTGAACCTCAAATTTCATATTATTCCAAATTGTATGAAACAGCTCTTCCCCAGGTGACGATTAGCCTACCAGTCCCCTTTCACGTAGAAAACCTGATTCAGTTCCAACCTTCTGTACTCCCACGAAGTCTAATATTTCGCTAACTCTCTTGCTACTGACTCACTTAAACCTGCCTCATCGACACTCTTGAGCGGAAACCCGAGCTTGCGTCCAGGATAGCCCTGTGGGATTTGTGGTGGACAGAATGGTTCTTTCCGAGTCCTTTGGTATTTTCTTGTCAGTATCATTCCACCGCTGCTTCATATTCAACCGTAAACCATCTGAGGGACGGGAAAAGGGCTCATTAGAGACCCAGTTCCACAGAGATAGTCTCACCCCATTGCAGCAATACCAAGAGACACCCATGACGTTCGATGTAAAAATCTCATCCCCATTTTCTGTTGCTTACGCCACGGTAAATAATCCGTCCAAGTTTGAGGCCCTGTATTATAATTTTAAGCACTCGAACATTTTACGGTAATGGGTTGTAGTCCGCCGTTCTAACTCCATGCTGGATTAACACAAGTTATCAGCTACCTTCCTTATCTGAACATCTTCCGCTTTCTGAGAACGCGCCATGCCGAAGTGAAAAGTGACCTAGATAGCACGGAAATAGAAGAAAAACATTTGGCATTGTTCTACCACATCAAAAGTTCACACTGATTTCGGCACTTTGCACTTCGCAGCTACACGCCATGTAAATCTTTTTTTTTTTTGGGGGGGGGGGGCGGAGTAGAGCTGCTGTTTCTGACGTTTTAAAACCTGAAAATGTTTCTCCATTTTAGGACGCCCATATTTTATATTAAATTTCTTATTTCAGCTTATGTACGAATATAATTTCTTAACTCCTGCCTGACAATGTAATTATAACGACATAGTCTGACCTCCCGCAGTGATCGCTGATAATTACAGCCAGCTCCCACTCATAGGCGTGCACATTTCCTTGGATATGATTATCAGATTAATAGTAATAACCCGAGTATTTCTGTATTATTCATTTCAACAAAGTGTATTCATTAAACAATTAAAATGACTCGACCGTTTGTTATCACACTGCAACAGTTAGCGCACTTACATAAAAGACTCTAATTAAATTACACGGTGATAAAGATAATGCTCTCCACATTAGCTTATGAACTATTTAAAACAGTGACTTACGTAACGAGAGATAGGATTAGCAGTTTCTCTTTGTTTGACTAAAGCTCATCAAGGACAAAGCTTTAGTTCCAGTTTAACGAGCAATAAAAAAAACATATTCTTTACAGCCTTCGCAAATCGTTACAC